GGTTGGGCAGCTTTGCTGTGAGGAGTCTCCCCAAAACCCAGTGGCTTCAAGCATCCACCATCTGCGCCAATGTCTGCAGGGGCCCGGTGACAGGCCCGGGGCCCCCTTCCCTCCAGGGGTCGCCCCCCCTCCTGGGGTCGCCCCCTTCCCTCCAGGGATCGCCGTGACCCTGGCTGAGCTCACCCGCGGGCTCCGGACGCGGGCGCCCTCGATGGTCACGGGATTGACGGGTCAGGTAGCCCCCAGCAGGGGCCAACAGGCAGCGGTGGGGGAGAAGTAGGTGGCGGGGAGCCGGGGAGGCGGGGCCGCTTCCGGAGCTGCCGCTGACACCGCAGGGTCCCCGGGAGAACGCGGGCGTCGGGGTGCGAAGGGCGAGGGAGTGACCGGGGCTCTGTGGCCCCCCGGAGTTCATAGTTTGTGCATTGGGAGCCCCTGGGGTTTGAGGGTGAAACAGGGTCCCCCGTGCTTCAGACGCTCTGGCTGGGCCAACCTCCCCGAAATTGGGCGACGTCTGGGGAGTCCTTGGGGTTTTTCCTGTGGAGGGGGAGCAATGTCTGCGCAGAGGCCTCCGCTGCCCCCCAGCGGGCAGGGGCGGACGGGGCGGGCCCAGGCTGCAAGTGTCCTCAGGGAGCCGGGGTCAGTGCGATCGAAACGGGGTCCCCGACGGTGCTGCAGGCTGAGGCGGGTCGCGGAGCCCGAGAGCCGCGACCGCTGGTTTCCGAGGCCTGGGAGGGGCGGGCCGAGGGTGGCGGCTCTGGCTGTGGGCGGCGTCTCCTCTGCTCCTCCGTGCGGGCTTCAGCCCGCAACCAGGCAGAGGCTGACCCAGGAGGGCGGTGCAGGGGTGTGGCGGCGGGGCGCCGTGAGCACCCCAGCTGCCTGGTCACCCGCGGCCTCTTCCCCTAGACCTGTCTTCCGCCGAGGCGGCGCCCGCCCTGGAGTGGAGCGCGGTGGAGGACGACGGGGGCGCGTCCGGGTCCGAGGACTCCCAGGTAAGGGCCGGCTTCCCCTCCGCAGATGCCCCGCCCTTCCTGGGGCCCCACCCTCCGCCGCGTGCGGGGGGGGCTCTGGTCACTCCCGTGGCTGATGCAGCGGAAGCCTCCGTCCCCACAGTCCTCACTCGCGAGGCCACGCACAGTAGCCCCTGATCTCTGCACCCTCGTCGTCCATCACCACCCACCCAGCCTCCGCGCGCCCCTGCCCCAACCTCCGCTTCCCGTCCACTCGTCCCCTCACCCCTGCACCCCCTGTTGACCACAGTCAGGAACCGCCAAACATGCTCTCAGTGAAAGACCGGGGGTCACAAGCCCTCGACGGGAGGCGGGACCGGGCCTGTGGCAAAGGCCGCGCGTCCACCTCTGGCCCGGGGCGTGGCTGTTGGTCCAGTGCCGGCCCGCAGTGTCCTGCCGGCCTGCCGTGATGGGTTTGGGGGCGCTGAAAGGCAGGCCCTGGCTCCAGGGTGCACAGGCTTGTTCTGTGACTTGCGCGGAGGCCCGAGTAGCAGGACGGGGATGTGTGGGCGCAGTGGGCTGGAGAAGGGGAGGGAGGAGAGGTGGGGCTGCAGGGGGTGCGGCTGGGGGCCGCGGGGATTGCGGGG